ACGCAATTCTTGGTTGATAGTTTTTTTTTTTTTTTCTTTTTGGACTTTAAATGTAACAGCTCACTTCCAGCCTCCATGATTTCTAAGGAGAAACCAGCTATTCATTTTATGAGGATCCCCTGTATATGACAATTGTTTCTTTGTTGCTGCGTTCACAATTCTCTCATCTTTGGGTTTCCACAATTTTATTACAGTGTGTCTCAATGTGGGCGTCTTTGAATTTATCCTGCTTATTCATGGACATTCTCAGACATGTATATTCATGTCTTTCCTAAGATTTGGGAAGTCTCCAGCCATTATGTCTTCAAATATTTTCTCTCTCTCTTCTCTTTGAAATTCCTATGTACATACGGTGTTACATTTGATGGGCTCCCACGAGTCCCTCAGGTTCTGTTTATTTTTTCTCATTCTTTTAAATTTCTGATTCCTATCCTAAATAATTTCAATAGTCTTATCTCCAGGCTCACTGGTCCTTTCCTTCTGGTTGCTCGGATCTGCTACTGAACCCCTCTAGGGAGTCTTTTCATTTCAGTTACTGGACTTCTCAATTCCAGAATTTCAGTTTGTTTCCATTTTTTAATAGATTATTTAGAGTGGTTTGAGGTTCACAGAAAAATGGAATGGAAATTACAGAGAATTCCCATATACCCCCTGTCCCCAAACATGCACAGCCTCCCTATCCATATCCTGCACTAAAGTGGCACATGCACTACAATTGAGTAACTACATTAATACATCATTATTGTCCAAACTCCACAGTTTACACTGGGGTTCACTCTTGGTCTTGTACTTTCCATGGGATTTGACAAATGTATCATGACTTGCATCCAGTTTCACTGCTCTGTATAATCCCCTGTGCTCCACCTTTATCTCTCCCTCCCCCTCAACCCCTGCCAACCACTGATCTTTCTTCTGTTTCCAGAATGTCACAGAGCTGGGATCACACAGCGTGGAGCCTTTTTAGCGTGGCTTTTCTCAGTCACATGCATTTAAGATCCCTCCACGTCTTTTCACGGTTTGAGGTCCCATTGTCTGGATGACACAGTTTATTTATCAGTTCACCTACTAAAGGGTATCTGGATTGCCTCCAAGTTTTGGTTCCTTTTTTACAACCTCTATTTCTTTATTCATATCCTCATTTTGTTCTTCCATCATTTTCCTGATCTCCTCTAGTTCTTTGTCTGTGGTTTCCTGTAGCTCATGGAACGTATTTAAGACAGTTGACTTAACATCTTCGACTGATACTTCCAATGTCTAGGCTTCCTCAGGGATAGTTTCTGTCAAAGGCTCTTTTTCTGTGAATGTGCCGTATTTTCCTGTTTCTCTGTACGTTTTGTTAAGTTTTTTGAGAACTGAACATTTTGAGCATTACATTGTGGTAAGTCTGGAAATTTAACTCTCTCACTCCTCAGGGATTGCTGAAGTTTTTGTTGCTGAGAGCTGGAGTCTGTTTGTGACTCTTCCAAACTATTTTTGCAAAGTAGGTATTCCCTGTGTGTGGTCACCAAAGTTTCTGGTCCTTCGTCTCTGCAGTCAGCCAGCGACCTGACAAAGATTTTCCTAAATGTGTGACTCCCCAAATGGGGGGCAGGAGATCTCTTCCAATCCCCTGGGAGCCACTTCAACCAGGGAGGTTGAAACAATACCCACCACCCTCCGTGCTGGCTCCTCAGTGATCAAAAGCGGCAACCAGCAATTAGAACCCACAATCCCAACATTCAGAGGACAAGGTCCTTACTGCCCATCCAGGTCCCAGCAAGTTGCCCCAGGGACATGAATAGCCACCACCCCACGATAGGCTGAAAGGCACCAAAACTCCCCAAATCTACCAGCCTCTTTGCCCAACTGTCCCATAGACAACCCCAGAGCTCCAATATCGTTACTTCGGCCAAGGCTGCCAGCTTGATGGCCACTAGGGCAGAAGCAGGTCGCTGGGGCTTCCTCCTGGCCATCTTCCCTGGCATCGCTCACGCCCCCGCTTTGATTTGAAATATCCACAGAGTTCCTAACTCACACAGCCCTCCCTGTAGGTGAGCTGGTTGTTCTCAAGGAGGCTTAAGAGTCTCCTCCAAGTCTCTGTTGCTCCTGAATTTCACGATGGTGGGTCTTGTGGTTTGAGAGAATTTATTGTGCAGGACACCTGATTGGCTCTTTGAATCTGGAGGCTGTCTTTCAAATCTGTTTTCTCTGGAACTCCCATCAGTCAACCTCCAGACGTCCTGATATAATTCCATATTTTTCACATCTTTTCCGATGTTCTGGGATATTTCTTCAATTACATCTTATAACCCTTCAACAGATGTTTTTATTCTGGCTATTATATTTTAAAATTTCTAGTCATTCTTAGTTGTTCTATGCATACAATTCTTTAAAAGTAGCACATCACTGGGCTTCCCTGGTGGCGCAGTGGTTGAGAGTCCGCCTGCCGATGCAGGGGACGCGGGTTCCTGCCCCGGTCCGGGAAGATCCCACATGCCGCGGAGCGGCTGGGCCCGTGAGCCATGGCCGCTGAGCCTGCGCGTCCGGAGCCTGTGCTCCGCAACGGGAGAGGCCACAGCAGTGAGAGGCCCGCGTACCGCAAAAAAAAATTTAAAAAGTAGCACATCACTGAGAATTCCCTGGCGGTCCAGTGACTGGGACTCCGCACTTTCACTGCTGAGGGCCCGGGTTTTTTTTTGTTTTTTGTTTTATAAATTATTTATTTATTTATTTATGTTTGGCTGTGTTGGGTCTTCGTTTCTGTGCGAGGGCTTTCTCTAGTTGCGGTGAGCGGGGGCCACTCTTCATCGCGGTGCGCGGGCCTCTCACTGTCGCGGCCTCTCTTGTTGCGGAGCACGGGTTCCAGACGCGCAGGCTCAGTAGTTGTGGCTCACGGGCCCAGTCGCTCCGCGGCATGTGGGATCTTCCCAGACCAGGGCTCGAACCCGTGTCCCCTGCATTGGCAGGCAGATTCTCAACCACTGCGGAGGGCCCGGGTTTGATCCCTGGTTGGGGAACTAAGATCCCACAAGCCGGAAAAAAAAAAAAATGAGCACACCATTCTTTCTCGTGGATATAAAAGTTCTCTTCTCTTTCTAAGGATGTCTTGCCGTCATCTTGTAGTTTTCTTCTGTTCCCTGCATTGTCTCTATTGGCACTGGGTGGATTTCATCTGCTTGCATCGTCCAAGGTCTCTTTCATGCAGAGGTGGTGCTCCAATATCAGGTGACCCTTGGCTGCAGTTCACAATTCACACTGAGGCACTAATGGCTGATTGGAAGTTCCGGGTAAATGGACGGCGTTTTCCCACAGAAGCTTTGCTGTAGTGGTCAGGCAGCAGCACGGTCACTTTCTTGAAAGAATCTCCCAGTCAGTGCCTCCAGGGCTTTCCCTTTGGGTCAGCTTTTCCAGAGCAGAGTCTGCTGGCTTCCTGCCAGTTGCAGGATGGGGAAGGACACATCTTTTACAAACCTGGCCACAGCACTCCTGAGGTATGGCTGGGGGGATAGTGGACCTCACTGCCACCCCTCCTCAGCTGTGTCTGAGGAGACCCCAACCTCCTGCTCGGGTGGGTGAGGGGCCGTCGCCTGCCTGGGGTCAAGCCTTCTTTACGTAAGTCTCCATCCAACCCTATTTCACTGCTCTGCCCTCCCATCCCCCACGGCCAGAGGTCCTAGTGCCCCAGTTCCAGGAGGTTCCTAGCATTCGGTGACGCAATTCCGCTTCCTCCCCGTGAGCTTCAACCGAGAGAGATCTTCAACTGAAGCCTGTCACCCCAGGCCCTCTGCCTTCCGTCTTCCAAAACGTTGCTGACGCCTGTCCCCTGCTGCAGTCACTTCTTCCATTCCACCTTCGAGGACAACTATCCCTTCCTGCCCTTTCAGTTTGGTTCCAAGAGGGAAGGAGGATAAACCCAGGTGGTTAAGCTGCCAGGTCGAGGGGGAGCCGCTGGTCTTTCCTCAGTGGACTCCCATTAAAGAATAAACAAGTGCCTCAAAAAATGTTTAAAAGAAGTTGTTGGGGAGGAAAATGCTATGAAATTAGGCAGAAAATTACAGAAGACTCAGTAACACACAACCATCTGGAATGAGTCCCAGATGCCTTGCAGAGCCAAAGAATCCAGACAATGAAAGTTCAGGAACAGGCAGTAGCAGCAGCCTCTGGCCCTATGGCGTTCAAACTCAGAACAGAAGTCACCTCTGGGGGGGGATGTTGGGTGGGAGGGGCCCGTGGGAGTCATCAGGGAGCAAGAAATGTTCACCACCTTGACGCGGTGGTCGTGACACAGGCGTGTACACGTGCAAAGATTTGTCAAGCTGTACTCTTGAGATTTGTCATTGTGTGTGTCTCACATCTCAGTAAAAGAGCAAGGGAAGGAAACGGACATTTATTGAGTGCTTGCTGTTTACTAGGCACTGGCTAGGTCTGCTTTTCTAATTCATTCATTTAATGAGCACCTACTATGTCCTGGGCACTATCTAGGTTCTGAGGACCCAGCAGCAAACAAATCAATTAGCATCTATGCCTGCGTGATGCTCCCAGTTAATGGGGAGACACTATCAAATAACTGCATCACAAAAGTCAAGTGACAACAGTGACAAGTGCAGAAGAAGGAGCAAGTCCCAATCCGGGGTGGGAGGGTGTCAGAAAGGCTTCCCTGAAAAAACGAAGTTGCAACAGAGATCTGAGGGGTCAGGAGGAAATGACCAGTCGTGAAGCATGAAGAGCATGGGGTGCAAAGGGACCAGCACATGCAAAGACCCCGTGGCAGGAGGCGTGTGCACGTTCATGAGGGTAGAGAACAGGGCCGAGCAGGGCTCCACTGATGCCAGAGGGGCCTCAGAACTGCCGTGCCCCAGACGGGAAACTGAGGCTCAGGGTGTCAGCCCCGGATTGCCCAGCAAGTATAACTGGGGCAGAAACCAACCCTGTCTGTTCCCCCTAGGGAACGTGAGCGGGAGAGGCCGCCTGGGCTCCGGCCTCCAGTGGTGCCAGCTGCCCTCACGTTCCCTGCCTCTCAGCCCCACAGGGCCTGCGGCTGGGGGTGGCCATGCAGCCCTGCCCCGAAGAGCAGTACTGGGACCCGCTGCTGAACACCTGTGTCTCCTGCAAAACCATCTGCAGCAATCAGAATCCACGCACCTGTGCAGCCTTCTGCAGTGAGTTCTGGGGCCCGAGCCTGGGCTGGATGCCCCTCCTGCCCCCGGAGGTCCCCCTGGCCTGCACTTGGGGCCTGAGGAGGGGTGGAGGGAGACGGACAGTGTGGCACCTTCTACCTTTCGACCCTCCTACCCTCCTTGCAGCTTCCCAAGCATGCTCTGTTCCTTCCTGCCTCAGGGCCTTTGCACAGGGATGCATTTCCCCACCTTCTCCCCTGGGCTCCCTCCTACCCGGCCTTCAGGTCTCAGCCCCAAATCAAGAGGTCCCCTCTGACTGCCGGATGGAAAGTGGGCCCTCCTTCATCATTCTCTGCTCTTTCTTCTGAAACTTTTTATTATAGAAATTATGACAGAGAGAGAGGACAGCATGATAAACCTGTCTACCCATCAGCAGCTTTAGAAATGCCACCTTTACAGTCCCCAATTTTTTTACTTGTGTATTTTAAAGCCAATCCAAGAACTCGTATTATTTTATGTGCAAATACTGGATCACGAATCCCTAAAACATAAGGGCCTTTAAAATATAACCTCAATATTTTGTCACCCCCAGCAATAGTTCCTTAATATCATCTGCACTCAGGCCATATCCAGTTTTCTCTAATTGTCTTTTGCTTGCTTTTTCATAACTTGTTCTTTCCCTGATGGAACTTATCACAGCTTATACCACACGTTCTTTCCTGTGTGTTCATGTGTCTCAACCACCCGACTGAGAGCTCAATTCCTTTCTTAAGCCTAGCACAGTGCCTGACACATAGTAAGTGCTTCATAAATACTGGCTGAGTGGGGCTCAGAGAGGCTGAGTGACTTGCCCAAGATCACACAGCACAATAGTGGAAGAGTCAGGATTTGAACAACAACTTTCTGAGTCTGCAACACCATGGCTCTGAGCCACCATCCATTAATGAGGTGGACATTCAGTGCTGACCCACATACCCCTGGAAAGAGGAATCTGACAGACCCTTCAAGGAGGTCATTATCTAGTGGGAGAAATGACTCCACTTCATGGTAAAAAGGTGAACTACCGTAAAACGCCACAGCTGGGAGAGACCACGTCCGGCTGATGGGTTGGGGAGCGAGGAAGTTTTCTGGTAGGAAGCGCCCCCTGCGATGGATTGTTAAGAGTCCACAGATGCAGAAGTCAGATGGGGGGACGGCGCCCCTGGAGGGACCAGCGTGGACAAAGGCGTGGAGGCGGGAAAATACAACAGGGAATATCGAGGCCCAGAGGGGAGGTTATGAGGTCAGGCAGTGAGGGCTGGTGGTCTGAGGAGCTCTGTCACCTGCACAGCCACATGGGGGTTCCCAAGGACGAGAGGAGGTCACGGCAAGCCCGGGAACACTGCTGCCATCAGGCTAACTCCACCTTGTGAGTGTCGGGGTCAGGAGCGTCCAGGGGCCACAGCAGGGTAAGGGCAAGGGGTGGTCACTGGTCCTGACAGGATCACCCGAGTCTCCCGAGGTCCCAAATGCAGGCCTTCCTGGTTTTGTCTTCTACTCTGAAAAGGATGTACGCGTTGGCGTGTTTGCATCGCAGAGGCACAAGTGAATATTCTATTTAAACCCTGAGCATTATTCATTATGTGTCAGGCACTGTGCCGGGGACTTCAAATCCCCGTAACAACCGTAAGAAATCACCATTGTTATAACTATTCCTCTCCTGGAAAACAGGAGACTGAGGAATGGAGGGGCCAAGCCCACCACGTGAAGAGGCGGACCAGAGCTTCCCCAAGCCCGCGTGGCTTCAAGGTCTGGGTTCTTGGCCTCTGTCTTGTGCTGCCTCCAAAATGCGCTCTGAAAACCTGCATGCGAGTCACATTTTCATATGAACGAACCTTAGAGACAAGGGAAACCTACCCTGTGAAAGTACAGGTTTCTGTATGGCACTCAAAACTGCTCTCTCCAGCAAGGGTGAATGGGCTTCAGTTTGCTTGGCTTCTGCCCCTTGGCACTGATGCCTGGTTAAGCTCCTAAAATTCTCATTTATTATTAAGACAGAAAAAACTATTAATCTGAGCTTTCTCACCTTCCTTCCAGTCCCCTTCCCCAACTTGCTAAGGCAGATTCTGGCTTTGTTCTCCATTCCTTATGTTTATATGAAATATGTTTCTCCCTTATGAGGTTTGAAAAACCCAAGTAAAGAAGTTATGTGACAATGTAATAACTTAAAAGATAACTAGAAAACCCTTATACAGTTAGTACTAAGAAATGCTCTTTTAAATTATAGGTCAAAGGAGAAATAATAGTGAAAAATAAGAACATTCTAAACTAGGTACAGAAAAAATACTACATGTCAAAATGTGTGTGATGCAGCTAAAACAGTACTTAGAGGACAACGTATAGTCTTACATTTGCATACTGGAAGAGGACTTGGATTACTCTGGAATTGCTTTTGGGGAACTGGACTAGGATTTTTTTTTAACTTTGATACCCTTTGAGGCCAGACCCCCAGTTTCTGCCTGTGTCTGTCACCCAGCAGCATCATGCATCTCTGTCTCCCAGAGTCACTCAGCTGCCGCAAAGAGCAAGGCAGGTACTATGACCAGCTCCTGGGGGACTGTATCAGCTGTGCCTCCATCTGTGGACGTCACCCCAAGCAATGCACACACTTCTGTGAGAACAAGTTCAGGAGTCAAGTGAACCTCCCACCAGAGGTCAGGAGACAGCGGACCGGAGAGGCCTCGACCCGGGCAGACAACCTAGGGAGGTACCAGGGACCAGAGCACAGAGGCTCGGATGTGGGTCCAGGTAAGCCACCTAAGGTTGGCCTGCGCGGTGTCCAAGGGTCAGAGTGGGTGGAAGGCAGGCACCAGGCCTCAATAAGGAGAGGCTGCAAAGCAGGAAGTCCAGTGCAGGCAAATGGCCAGAAACCAGGGGGGTGGGGGGATCATCACAGGATAGAAAAAAAAAATTAAGCAAAGTTTACAGAAGTCTGTGAGCAAGAAGGAAGCAAAAGAAGAAAAAAGACCTGACAGTTGGGAGTCTCATAATGGTGGCTGCATGAATTCTCAGAACACAGGGCAGCGAGTGGATAGCACAGCTAACCTGTGAGCAAGACCCCCACTCCATTTAGAGGCAATGGAGACTTCCCAAGAATGAGAAAGAAAAGTACTATCAAAAAAGCTCACGGTGGAGATGGGCCTCCTTAGATATGTGAGGGGGTCCCTTGAACTAGGCACTTACTAAGTGCCGAGCACTGGAAATGACCTAATTAATCCTCCCAGAAAATACCTCTTGGCTCAGCTACTCTGCTCTGTGGTGTCAGAGAGGACGCGGCTTGGGTGGGGATGTGGACCCGCAAACACTTGATATTTATGGTGCTCTTGGTCTGCCAGGTGCTGGCTGGTTTTCCTCCTTTTCTGTGACTTTCCTCATGACGTCACTTCCATGAGAACAGGCTTCATGTGTCCTGATAACGAAGTGCCCAGCCTGGTTCTTCTCGGTTAGACTGTTGTCTCTTACTCTGCTCTGCTCTCCTGTCAGTAAGCTGCTGCCACGTAACAAACAGCCCCCAGATTCCATGGCGTGTTACTCCTCATGGCATAGGGCTTGGCCGGAGTCAGCTGGAGGGGCTCTGCTCCTGAGTCTCTCATCCTCCCCTGGGACCAGCGGGTGGGCAGCAGCATCAGAGGTGACACACGGGCCTCTGAACCTCTCGGCCAAGAGCTGGCACCCATCATCTGCTGCATCCTATCCCTCCAGATGCAAAGCCAGCCAGATTCAAGGCGGGGGAGACAGACCCCACTCTCGGCTGGAGGAGAGGCGAAGGATTTGTAGCTGTGGGGGGTTTGTGGCCGGTTTTTATCCAGCACAGCCTCTTGTGAGAGGAAATGCAGATTCACACACAGAGGGCGTGGATACGGGTGGAGGGGGTGACGAACGGGACCACAAAGGGGGCTGCTCTCCAAGGTCTGGTGACCCCTGCGCCTTCCCTGCAGTGACGTATTTGACTCTTCCAGCCAAACCCAGAACCCCGTCCACCTCCGATGCCACAGATTCCCCTTTACAGACAGAGAAATTGAGTCTCAAAACCTGGAGAGTCAGTGCACAGCTGAGCGGGGACTCGGGCCCGGCCTGCGGGTCCCAAAGTTTGTCTGCTCTGCAAGAGCCAATCCCCGGAGCAGTGTTCTGTGGTGCCGTCGCCCACTTAGGGGGACCTCTTGCCAGTGTGACACCGTTAGCCCTTCCTGTCTGTGACCACCAGCCAAGGCCCCTCCCCAGAGGGCCTGGGGTGGACCCTCCAGGTACGAATCCCCCAGGAAGTGTGGACAGACATTCCAGGAGCCAGTGGGGTCAGCGTGACCACGTCTGACCTGACCGCTGTCCCAGTCATTCCATGGTGCGGCCTCCCGAGCCTCGGAGGGCTGGGTGACGCCTCGCCATACCTGCCCCCGGCCGCGTGTCCCTCTGGAGGTCTGGGGCTTACGTGTGTCCCGCTGTGTCCTGATACCTGCGTGCAGGTGGGGCGAGAGCTGGGTTTGGTGGGGACTGTGAACAGAAGTGCCGGGCCCACACCCTGGGTGTTAAGGGCAGGGCGTGCAGAACACTGCCCGTGGCAGCGGGGCTGACCTGTCCCCCCACTCACTCCCCGCCCTGCCAGCCCCCACCCTTGGTCCCTCCACGTCTCTCGGAATGGCCGTTCCTTCATTTGACGGTAACTGTGGAGGGCTCAGCTGTGCCTGGGGGGACGGGTCCAAGAGTCAGGCAGACCCTGTCGCTGACCCCATGGAAGTTACAGTCTGATGGGAGAGACAAGACAAATGACTGAGTAACCTCAGTGCGTGGCGACATCCCCCAGCCAGGGTGCAATGGGGTGAGAAGGTTTCCCCGAGGAGAGGCCCTCAAGGCAGACTGGGGGCCAGACCCCTGGTTCCATCTCCCACCAACTGTGTGACCTTGAGCAAGTCACTTAACCTCTCTGAGGTTAAGTGTTTCCGTAAGACTGAGATCACCTGCCTTCACGGGGTTGCTGCACTGAGTGTCAGGATCAGCACGTAGTAACTGCTCATTTAAAAGGAAAGCATACATCTAAGAGACGACGTGGAGAAAGGTGTTCCAGGCAGAGGGCACAGCATGTGCAGGTGCTGGGAGGGGCTGGGAGCGGAAACACACGGATTCTCTGTGGACAGGGTACAGCCACTGCTAGGACCACTGGGGCTGCAACTGCTACAAACAGTGGGAGCAAAGGCTAAGCTTTAGTGAAAATTAAGGTTTGCTTTTCTTATCCGAGCCCACGGAGCCCCCAGGCCCTATTCAAGGGCCTCCTGGGTCCCGGGTTCAGAGCTCCAGGTGGCGTGAGCACGGGTGACCTGGGACGTCTCCAGACTCTGTATCTCCCTGTCCCCACTGGGGACAGGCAGCCCGGCACCCCCCTCACAGGGCTCTCGCAGGGCCTCAGCGACCCTGGGCCTTGATGCTCCAAACCCTTAACTTGATTACATCTGCAAAGGCTTTTTCCCCAAATCAGGTCGTAAGGTCCCACGTGCAGGTTACCAGACCCCTTGTGGGAGGGCGATGCCCGCCTTGGGAGCACATCCTGCACGGCGGCCTGGGGGTTGGTCTTGTCTCTGGCTTTTCATCTCAGGGTGTGGAGTGTTTTCTCCCCACACACGCCACCTCCCATCCGCCCCCGACGGCTGCAAGAGATGTCACCGTGGCGGCTGCCCCAGGCCCCCTCTGCATCCCCAGGGCTGAGGCCAGGGGAGGAGGGCAGAAAGCCTCGGGAGCCCACCTCACCCCTCCCCTGACCTGCCTGCTCGCTGGGCTGGGGCCGTGGGGATGCTGGCGGAACGTTCCACTGGGTCGAGCTGCTACCAACAGCGCGGAGGCCGGAGCGTCCACCCCGTTTCACCAGGAGGCAGGCCTGACCGTGAGCGAGGGTGGCCGCAGGGCCCAGGCTCAGAACCTGCCCTGCCCCGGCTACACCAAGGCCCCTCAGGACAGGTCACAGCACTGCCCGCCCGGCCAGCCCGAGCTCCAGCCCAGCAGCAGCAGTCGGGGAAATCCTGTTTCTAGGCGAGATTGACTCTGAAAACAGTACAAGCACGGAACAAATCTAATGGAAAACCCGCTTGGAAATAAACCATCCGCGGTGCCCCCTGGTGGCGGTGCTCAGAACTGCGCCGCAGGCCTGGCTCTCTGACAAGGACAGAGCTCACATCCATTCCCGACTGAAGCCCCTGCACCCACCGGGGTCAGCAGACAGGGAGGCACTGGGCGAGACCGCTCCGCTCCGGGGCCAGGTCACTGAGGGCCGACAGAGGTCAGCGACCGAGCTTGCAGACCTGAACAGCTGGTGACTGAACAGAGGAAGCACAGCGGTGGCTGGGGACCCCGTCCCCGCACCTGGCCAGCCTCTGACTAGGCTTCAACAAGTGAGGCAGCCAGCATGCTCCTTGCCGTTCCCGCGAACGGACGACACACGGGGATCGCGACGGAAGAAAGAAGGTATTAAAAAGCCAGGTTTGGGGAAAGTCTCTCCCCAGGAGCAACACCTGTCGCGGCCTGGGTTTGTCGGTTCCCACATGCTCTTGTCTAAGCACATTTCACACCAGGGAGAACCCCAAGCGCCCACCTCTCTCCCCCTGTTCACTTCCTGCCCCTGAGGCTCAGCCCATCTCAGGACCCACCAGGGAGCTGGTCTCCGGCTCTCACTGTAAACAGAGCCCAGCAAATGCCTGCATCCACGTGCCTAGAAGTGAAGGCAGTGAGTCCACAAGCCTGAAAGGGCGTGTCCGTGTTGGCAGGTGGTTGCATGTGGCCCTCAGAGGAGACCACCCCACCCAGATGTGCCTGGGTCGCCAGCCTGGGACAGAGGCGGAAGGTGACATCTTTCGCAGTTTTAACTGCACCTCTCCTCCGGATCCAGGGCCTCTGCGAAGCACGCTCTACGAGCGGGTCACCAGGCAGGAACTGGTTCCGTTTCCCTCAGGAAGCCCCAAATCACCCTCCTCACGTGGTGGCTCAGGGCGCCCGGGAGAGCAGAGCAGAGGCTGCCAGGCCTCGTCATGGCACCGGCCAGGCCCTGCGTCCCCTGTACTGCGCACTGCTGGGTGCAGGGGGCCCGGCCAGGCCCTGCGTCCCCTGTACTGCGTACTGCTGGGTGCAGGGGGGCCCGGCCCAGCCCGACTTGAAGGGCAGGAATCAAGGACCGTCTCCAAATGCCAGCAGCCAGCCTCGAGGTAGTTAGAGTTCAGCTGAAGACACCTGAAATCCACCCAGCACTTCACTGTGTACTTAGCAGCGTCTGGTAGCTGGGAATTCCACCTCCCACGCGAAGGCTGCCAGCCTCTCCCCCGCTAATCTGGCCAGGCCGACGGCTTTATTTTATCCCAGGGACGCACAGGAGCCGGTGAGCAGATGGGGGCCCGGGAGCTGGGACACACGGACGTCGCCGGCCGGGGGGTGGCACCGACAGCCCACCCAGAGCTCTGTGAACGTCAGGGTAGCACCAGCCAACTGTCACTTCATAAAATTCTGCCCCTAAGGAGGCTGCGTAAGGAAGAGGGACAGTGTCCACCTTGCCATCTGTGCGCGGCCGGCGTGGAGCCCCGGCGTGGAGCCCATCAGACCTGCCCCCAGGTGCAGCTCTGCAACTGTGACCAGATCTGAGGCTGAGTTTTGTCATCTGAAATACAGACTGTAAGGCGGTGTGGCCACAGCGGGAACAGCCTGCAGGATCCTCAAACAGCTCAGCAAGGAGGCGCCACCTGACCCGGCAACTACGCTCGTGGGACGCGTCCACGAGAGCGGCACACACACGTGCACACGGAAACCTGCACGCAAGCCTTCATAGCCGCCCAAGGGTGGAAACAACCGAAATGCTTGCTCGTCGTGGACAAACAAACACGATGTGGTGCATCCACACGGTGGACGTTACTCAGACCCAACACACGTGCCACACGCCTGAGCCTTGGAAACACGCCGAGAGGCCAGACGTGAAGGTCCCGTGCTGCACAATTCCGCTGGTGTGAAGTGTCCAGGACAGGCGACAGAGACCGCGTGGTGGTGCCGGGGCGGACGGGGGGCGTCATGCGGTGCCGGACACACCTCAGGTGCACAGGCAGCAGCTGCACGAGCCTGAGAACACACTAACCACCCCCCCTCATCTTCAGGGCCGTGAACCTGGCAGCACGTGGACTACACTGCAACCTGGAAAGGGGGCGAGCGCCCCTCCTTCACAGAAGCGTGAGGGTCAGGGACACACTAGAGAAGTGTTGCGTGCAGCAAGACCAGCAGGCGGCCGGCAGCCCTTCCTCCCGGGCTGGGGGCGCCCGATCCCAGGGCCCGGGACAGATTTCGAGGGCAGGGCTTTGGCTCGGGGCCCTGAGCGGGGCCAGCGCCCCATTTCCCCAGGCCCCCCTGGTGTACGTCTGCCCCTCAGGCTCAGGAGCAACACCACCGTCTCTCTCCAAGCACGCGCTCCCTGGTCAAACACCCTCCCTGGACAACTGTCCACCTGCTCGCCCGTCCACCTCTGGTACCGTCCCAAGCTACACCCCACAGTGAGAGAGAACGACAAAGGGCGTGCAGCTCCGGGGTCCCCCGGCCCTCCGAGGGGGCGTGGGGGTGACCGCATGGCTTGTTTGGGGCTCACAAGGAGGCAGCGAGGACGAGGGGCTGCTGGCCGGAGGGGGGGGTGCTTCAGGGAGGGGCCCCTCCTGACTCTGGTTCCCCCGCTGTCTTGCAGCCCCCCCAGGGCTAAAGCTGAGCGCCGACCAGCTGGCCCTGGTCTACAGCACGCTGGGGCTCTGCCTCTGCGCCATCATCTGCTGCTTCCTGCTGGCCGTGGCCTGTTTCCTGAAGAGGAGGGGGGACCAGGTCTCCTGCCAGCCACCCCCAGGGCCATGTCGGATGCGGGCCAAGTCCTCCAAGGGTGAGCACGCAGTGGGGTCCTGGACATCCCTCTGTCCTGGTTCTGCCCCCGTTTCTAAGTGGAGAGCGGTTGCCGGTCCTCCCGGGGAGCAGCCTGGCGCCAGTTCCTACAGTTTCCTGTCTGTCCTGGTGAAATCGGGTCAAACACCAAGGCAAGAAGAGACAGGGCCCTGAGGAAGGGTGGGTGTTGGGCCCTGGGGCTCGCCCCACTTGCCAGGACAGGGCGGCTAACACCGGAGGTGGTCCCCTGGGGGTGCAGGGCGGGGGAGGAGGGGTCCAGGCCGAGGCCGACGCCCTCTCCCCCTCAGCAGATCGCTGGATGGAAGCGGGCAGCGCTGCAGGGGCAACGCCCGAGCCGACGGAGACGTGCAGCTTCTGCTTCACGGAGTGCAGGGAGCCCGAGCGTGCCGGGAGGTGGGCGCGCCACGGCCAGAGCGCAGCCGGACAGCCCTGCGTGCGCGCCCCGGACGGCGGCCTCTGCGGCATTGAGGTCGTGTGCACGCCCGCCCAAGAAGGAGGCCTGGCCACATGAACCTGGGGGGCTGGGGGGAATGGTGATGGGAGAGAGAAATGAAGTGGGGGAGACTGGGGAGAGAGGAACAGAGCAAGGGGAAAGGACAGGGAAGGGGGAGGGGAGTGGAGGAACAGCTGGCAGAAGGGCCAGGGCCACCGTATTGACCCCAGGCGTCCACTGTAGGTCACCGGCACCTACACGCACCTGCAGCAAAAGCACCCACACCTGCTGGACCCAGCCCCGGGGACCCTTGGCAGAAATAAAACCTCCCGCACTGCCCACTCCTCACTGCAGCTGGTCTGGGTCGCGTCTCCCCGTGGTGACTGCCCCATCCCACCTCTCCCGCTGCCCCTGGGCTCCAGGCCTGCTTTCCAAGGATCTGAGCGGGTGTGTGGACCGAGAAGCAGGCTCTGCTGTCCCCTGTCGCCTAAGAGGAGAAAGCAGCCAGCTGATGGGGGGCCCACCATCAGGGCTGGGCCCACCATCAGGGTTGGGCCCACGATCAGGGTTGGGCCCACCATCAGGGCTGGACCCACCACCAGGGCTGGGCCCACCACCAGGGCTGGGCCCACCATCAGGGCTGGGCCCCCCATCAGGGTTAGGCCCCCCATCAGGGCTGGGCCCACCATCAGGGCTGGGCCCACCATCAGGGCTGGGCCCACCATCAGGGTTAGGCCCACCATCAGGGCTGGGCCCACCTGCGTCGATCTCGGAAAACCAATTTCCTCCCGTGTCTCCTCAGAAAGGCGTGAAGCAGTGTGACTGTGTGTGCCTGTGTACAGTCACGCGTGTGCACGCATGCGCTGCTCCCACGTGTGTCACGGGGCGCGGGGCGGACAGAGGGCAGGCGGGCTGAGCCCAGGCGTCAGGCTGCTCTCAGAGCCCAGGACCACGTCCTGCATCACCTCAGGAGTGCTCTCATTTGGACACCAACCTGCTACTGTTTAGTATTTTTCTTTACGTCAGCCGACCTTTCCTTCCAGACCTACACGCTACATTTTTCGGATTCTGGCCGGTAACACTGTATCTGAGCTTTCACAATTTGTTTTCTTGGCTACACCACGCGGCTTGTGGGATCTCAGCTCCCTGACCAGGGATTAAACCCGCACCCCCTGCAATGGAAGCGCAGTCTTGGCCACTGGACCGCCAGGGAAGTCCCACATTCACAAATTTTTGATACTACATATATTTTATACCTGTATTTGCAGTGAAACCTATATGTTAGGAGCATTTAAGCCTGAAAATACGTAACTGCTGTAAGCAGCAGCCACACAGATAAACACAAGATTATGCAAATCATTCATCCGGAAACCACCTGGCGTACCCACGTGCACCAAAGGTTCACACAACACGCTCTGGGAGGTGTACACAAGAAGCCTGAGGCTCCATCCTTCCTTCATCCACTGGCTAACGGGCCCCGTCACCTTCCCAGGCTGCTGGACAAAGCCCCACACGCTGTGCGGCTTCAACACTGGAACCTCCTGTCCCCCGTCTGGAGGCCGGAGCCCACCCAGGTGTCACAGGGCTGGTCCTGCTGCAGCCGTGACGGGAGAACTGCCCCGGCCTCGCCCCCAGGGCTGCAGATGGCCGTCTTCCCTTGATGCGTGTCTGTCTGTCCAAATCTTCCCTTAAGGACACTGGTCACCCTAATGACCTCATTTTCACTTGATCATGTCTGTAAATCTCCAGATAGGGTCATGCTTAAAGGTTCTCAGGGTTAGGACCTCAACCCATGAATCTGGGGGCACACATTCAGCCCAGAGCACAGGTCCTCCCAAGTCCAGTCTCACTTCAACGCGGTCTGAAGCCAAGTTAGCTTCTCACAAGCACCCGCCCAAGACAAGCGTCTGACCCGGTGTTCAGTGGGCCCGAGGCGGCAATGGGGACATCTTGGTGCGGTGCCCACCGGTCACCAAGCCCACGGCAGCATCTCTTGGCAGCACGGACCCTGTACCTGGGGTAGCTGCCTGCCAGACCCTGGCAACGCCCCAGCACATCTCTGAGCTGCACGGAAGCGCTTGGGATGCAAAGCCTCGTCCGAAACGTGTGCAGACTCCTCCAGCTGTTTTCAAATTCTGCTCATCTGAGCCCAAGGGGCCCTGGGTGATGCTTCTGGACCGTGGGGGGAGTGAAGGCTGCCGAAAACACAGGGAAATGTGTGCCTGACTACGGCTTTCCACAAAAATAACCTCTGGGTTTTTTTTTGTCAGTTTTTCAATTGGTCTTTAGTGTAAGTTGGCATGGCAGGTTTTGTTTTTTTAAAGACCAGGATCCTCTGCTGCAAAGAAAATCTGAAACTCTAAATACCATCCATTTTATCCACGTTCTGTGTTCTGCTGGTCCTACTTCCAAAATACACTCTGATTCCCGCCACCTGCCACAACCCCCGCGACGCCAGCCCCGAATCCGCCCTGTGCACCCTGCCCAGGGCTCAGCAAGCTCCTCTGAAAAGGACCAGACGGCAGAGACTCTCGGCGACGACTCAGCGCTCACCCAGCCCTGCCGCGCTTGTGCCCAGGCAGCCAGCGCCAGGGGAGGCGGCGGGTCGGACTGGGCTCCGCCGACGCGGCTCAGACCGGGCACCACAGCTCACCCTCCCCGCCCTGCTGCTCCGCAGCTCGGGCCTTTACCTCCAGCTTTACTGAGACATAAATGACACGTAACTTTGTGAGTTGCCAGGTGATGCATCTGTACATTGTAACACGTTCCCCACGTGGCACCAGGAACCCCTCCACTCCAGCCCACCATCACCCGTGTGGTGAGAACATGTAAGATCTCCTCTCTCTGCAACTCTCAAGCACAGGACACAGTATCAGGACGTGTCAGTCTCACCCCTGAGAGTCTGTGCCCTTTGGCCAGCATCTCCCCCTTTCCCACCCCCTGGCAACCACAATCTACTGTTTCTCTGGACACTGGCCTCTTTGTGTCTCTCTCCGGTTTTCTGAAGAGCTGTCTGCGAACAGCATCGCCTCACTCCCGCCCCGTCTTCGGTGCTGCTGTCCTGGAAGCCCACGATCCGTCGCTACTGTTTTTGCCTTAGAAACTCAGTAGCGTATAGAATGATTAAAAATAACAAAAACAACGCTTTGTAGATCTACCTTCACGTCTAACAATCCTCATTTTCTGGGTGTGGACCTAGGTCTGTCTGGTATCTCTCACTTCTGTCTGAAGAGCCTCCTTCAGCACCTCCTGTGCGAGTCTGCGGATGATGAATTCTGTCTGCTTCCAAAGCCTTTCCATTTCTGAGAGATTTTTCTGGGAAGACTCTGGGCTGCCAGCTTTTTCTTTTCTGCATCTCAGAGACATTGCCCTACTCTCTCCAGCTCCCAGTTTCTGACAAGACAGCTGCTGTGATTCCTACCTTTGTTTCTTTGCAACGTGTGCCTTCAAATCTTTCTCTTTCTCTTACTTTTTAAAGGTTTCAGTGCGGCGTGTCCTGGAGTTTCCTGTGGTAGGTAGGTCTGTTTTGTTATTTATCCAGCTTGGGGTTCTCTGAAACGTTCGGACCTGTAGCTTGATGTTTTTCATGATAAAATTACTGGCCATTATCCCTTCAAAATGTTTGGTACCGCCCCACATCCCAGGTGCCCTATTCTTTCGGTTTTCCCCCCATTCTTCTCTTTGTTCCAGTTTGGGTGGCCCCAATGCCTCTTCCCTCAGCTGTGAGGTCACGGACGGGCCTGTCAGGGCCATCCTTCCTGTCACCACGATCTTGGCTCCCAGCACCTCCATCCACGTGGCCCCTCCTCACACAACCCCCATCCCGCTGAAGGCTCCCGTCTGTTCCACACATTTTCCCTGAGAGCCGTCAACACATCAACCCTAGTTATCCAGAATCTCCGCCTGCCGGTTCCGACAGTCAGATCATCCTGAGTCCGGTTCTATTGCTCTGTCTCTTGGCAGTGACTGTTTCTACTTGCTGTTTTGTGTGTCTTGTGATTTTTTTTTTTTTTTTTTTTTACCAAACGCCAGACCTGTGTGGGACGGCAGAGACTGACATACCAAGTTTTTATGCCTGGAATTGGCCGGCCTTTCTCCTCCAGGCCGTCAGTGAGGGGCCGAGTCACAGGCTGAGCTGGCTGGGTTCTGTCGTTGCTGTGATCACCCCCGGGCCCCAACGGCTTCACCTGGCCCCGTGGGGTCACGCTCTCAGGGAGGGGCTGCTCCCTGGCAGCTGCACGCCTTCCTGCCCTTCCTCGGCGGTACACGCCCCTGTCCCTCAGTGTTTCCTCCCCTGGGGTCCCGTCCCGCTTGCCCTCCCCCCACCCCTCCCTCCCCGGAGCAGAAGCCCCACCGTACTGCTCCCGATGGAGCCTCAGGGCTACACCGACCCTGCTTCTGCTGCTGCATCCAGACACGCAGACCATCGCGTGCTGCACAGAGCATCACTCCCATGCACCACAGTGGTGACGTTTCGCTGATTGGATCTGATGAGCAGACAATTTAATAACAGTGAACTAAATAAGCCACAAGATTAAGAGTAAAAATGGTACAAATGAACTTATTTACAGAACAGAGGTAGAAAACAAACTTACAGTTACCAGGGGGAAAGGAGGGGGATAATAAACTGGGAGACTGGGATTGACACATACACACTACTATATATAAAACAGGTAACTAATAAGGACCTGCTGTAGAGCACAGGGAACTCTACTCAATGCTCTGTAATGAGCTATGTAGGAAAAGAATCTAAACAAGAGTGGATACATGCACGTGTGTAACTGATCCCCTTTGCTGTACCCCTGAAACTAACACAGCATTGTACATTAACTGTACTCCAATAAAAGTTAAAAAATAAAGATAATTTTAAAAACTTAAAATCCATCAGTCCATCACAAGAAATAATGCGCCCCAAACTCAGGGGTCCCCAACTCAACGGCATTCCTGTGGATTCTGTGCTCTGAAGCAAGAAGCCGGGGCACTGCATCTCCCACACCCTCCCGAGAACAGGCAGCCCTGCTGGGTTGCGAGGCAGCACAGACCGTTTTGGGTGTGTTAATTCCATCCGTCTACACAGGCAGCATGTGGCTCCCAGTTAAAGAGGGACCCGAACGAGTTCGAAAATGCTGCACGACCACTGAGCCTGAGGATACGAGAGCCCTAGTAACTCAACATCCGCGGCGAATGAGGACGTGTCACGAGCCTCCAGCAGGGACCAGAGGACACCAGCACAGACCTTCCAAGCACGTCAAACCTGTCCTCCTCCGTGGGCGCTGGTCCTCCGCAGAAAGAGCCTCCGCTACGCGGGCCGAGCACCTAACCATGGACATCGGTGACCGCGTGGCACGAGTGCCCTGAACACAGTGAGTGCTGTCGACCGCTTGGCCCACCTCTGGGTGTGCAGCGACGGACACTCGCGCGCAAAGTACAGCAAGAGCGGGCGGCTGTGACGTGCACAATCACGCCCGCTGCACAACCGCAAGTACCCCTGTGACCAGGGACCCGAGGACCATCGTTTACTGTAACTTTGTCTTCAAAGTTCAGCTCGGCTGGACGGTCAAAGATTTGGAAGCAACGGGATTTAAGGACTGGCGACAGAAGATCCGGGTGGGGACAGACCTCTCCGAACGGGCACAGACTGTGCTCACCAAGGAGAAGCCCGACAGAGGACACTCACCGCCAGGTGGACAAAACGGCCAGTTGTGGGAGCAGACGGCTCGCTGAGAACCCCCGCCCCACTCCATGAATAAAGGGGCCATCGAGATGGGGATGGGGCTGTCTCAACAGGCTCGATGTCAGGCCCTGACCCTGGCTCACCAGCTGGCCCTGCCGGGCGCCCACTTGGCGACTGGACCGCCACCAAGGCCCAGGAGCAGCTGGCCACCTGCCGGCAGGCCCACTACACGGAGGCCAGAGACGCGTCCTCACGGGATCGAACCCGTCTCCTGGACGCGGATCTGCCTGCCCTGTCGGCACCACCACCCGCAACGACGCTCCGCCAGCCCCACGGGACACAGAGCAGGGGCCTTGTGTCCACGTGGCTGCCCACTGAGACGCAGGCACGAGTCTGTCTGCCAGGACAGCTTAACGCTTTAACCAGGGCCTGCGACCGGAGCGTGCGGGTCCTGGGGTGGAGGGTTAGGGCTGGGCGGGCTCCGCGGGTCCTGGGGTGGAGGGGTTAGGGCTGGGCGGGCTCCGCGGGTCCTGGGGTGGAGGGTTAGGGCTGGGCGGGCTCCGCGGGTCCTGGGGTGGAGGGGTTGGGGCTGGGCGGGCTCCACAGCTTCACACCAAGAGCCCCACCGCGCGTCTCCCTCCCAGGCCTGGAGAACTCTGCTGGGAAGGCCTCGGAGCCCCAGGGGAGCTGCCTGCAGGCAAGCAGCAATGGTCCTCCTGCATGTGGAGAGACCCCCGGGCAGGACTGCTGCTCTGGAACCCAGGGGCACTCGCTGGTACTTCCTGATGTTTCCGCGTACGTGAAGTGAAGGAACGTGTGACAGAGGCATCCAAAAACAGCACGCTTCAGAAATGAAGGGTGGACCGGGGGGTGGGCAGAGTCGGAACCGCACTGACCAGGACGGGGGCTGCTCTCCGACCACACCCTCCGCCTTCTCAGAGCCCGGGGAGCCGCACACCCGTATCGCCGCACCGCATCCCAGGTCCTGTAATCAAACTCCAGCAGGGGTTCCTGCGTTTAAAGAAGCCCCTTGGGTGGCTTTTAAGTTCGTCAAAGTCTGACAGCCCACGGTGTCCTGAGTCCCAGATTTGTCCCCATCCTGCCCCCAGGAGGAGGGGACGCAGCGGGCATGGACTTCCCGGTCCAGGGCAGGTCTGGGCTGGAACAAACCGAGAAGGGGCTGGTGTCACAGACGGGACTCGCGTGCTAGTAAGGGAAGACGGGCCAGTTTTCAGAATAAAATGTAGCTTTATTACGACACAGGAAAAGACTACAAGCCATTAGAGAGAAGAGCCAAACAGTCCCTCAAAACGACAGGTGAAAGGGACGCGGAAACATCCCAGTAATAAAATCCACAGCACAATCATTGGAATCTCGTTCTTACGATTTCTGTTTTCAAAGTTATAGTAAACGACGAAACAAGTCACTTGAATTGTCAAAAGAACGGCAATTTTATACGACGAAAGCATCCACACGGAGCAGAACTACAACGGCACGAGTGTACGTGATGCAGCAGGAGCGTCCTGGACATTCTGGCGCTGACGGGAGGCCCAAGGAGGCCTGGAGAGGGCCCGGGCCCAGCCCCCCGCTCAGGACACCCAGGGAGAGCCCACTGTCTCACTGTAAAGCGCTGACACGGCAGCCAACGTCTCACAAACACAAGTCACTTTAAACACACTAGCCGGGGAGGAAGGGTCGCCCAGGGATTCCTCAGCGGTCTGGACATTGACACGGTGGTGGTTTGAAACAGGAAACCATTTTCCCGTATTTAGTAGCTGCATCGGGAGCTGAAAGAAAATAAATCCCCCAACCCATCACGCAGTTGTTTGTTCCTGACGAGGTGACATCAAAGCAGGACCTCAGCGCGCGGGACGGGGGGCGGGCGCGCGTGCAGGCAGCCGGAGCCTCACCGCGCCCCCCAGGTAGTTCTTCCAGCCACAGGGGAATCTCAGCAGCAGAGAGATAAGTGCTCAGAACACCAGGCCAGAGGGAACAGAGGGTTAACTTCGACATAAAAATTCAAAAGAACACTCAGAAAAGAGAAACGGCCTCACTGTCTCCTGAATCTTCACATCCTTGGAGCAGCTGAGCCCTGGACATGAGTGGGCGGCAGGGGAGGGCCGCAGGGCTGACCAGACCACAGGCGAGCCGCCAGAAACCCCGCGGCCAGTACATCTCCTCTGTCGCCACTCTGCACGGAGGCCCAGGGCTCCAGGGCCCTCAGAGCAGCCACAGCGGACGGGCCACGCGGGGCAGGCGCCTGAGCTGCGTCGTTGAGGACTCTGCCGGGTACGACGCCCCCGCCGCAGGACCCCAGCACCTTCCACGGGGGGAGCAGGAGCCACGCCGCGCCCAGACCCGAGCAGCCGACGAGCTGGACCTGGTTCACGGTCTGTCGGCTGAGAACCCGTCACACGTTTTTAAACAGTGACAACGGCTGAAATTTTATGACGTGGCTAAAGTATATGAAATTCAACTTCCCGTGATCATGTAAAGTTCTACTGGAACACAGCTACGCTCATCCACGTTACCTGCAGCAGAGACCACAGGGCCCCCAAAGTCAAAAACATCTACTACCTGGCCCTCTGTGGAGAGTCCGCTGACCCTGCCGCAGGTGAACGTGTTCCTCTGCAGGAAAGAAGCCTCACGTTCAGGGGACACTGGCTCGTCCCCCGTCTCTGGGCTGGAATCTCAGAGACGGACAATCTAAGTTTGGGTGTGAACAGACAGATGCTTGCGAGACGGCTCACGAGGAACAATGATGCTGCACCTCCCCCGTCAGCCCCTCCCACCAGCTCAGTCCCGGCCGTCTGTCCTGCGGCAACGGAAGCTACTGGAACGCAAGGCAGAGGCACCCAGAGCCAGGATGCAGCCCCCCTGGAGGCCGCCGCATCATCCGACACACCTGCCGCCCAGCAGCGACCAGGAGAGCTCGCGGGACAGGTGGCCAGGAAGGAAACACGGGAGGGAAACAGTGAAACCACTGGAAACGCTTCAGGTACTAAAAGATTAATACGACAGAGACCGTTCCCAGCGCAGCCTGATTCTCCTCCACTGAGCCAGGCAGCTCTGACCAGGTCCAAGGTGCCTGCGGGGGGGTGGGCGGGGGGCAACAAAAACAGCACCGATGAAAAAGCAAGATCCATTCTCCAGGATAAAAGGAAAACGATCTAAATTTCAGCCTGAACTCAATAATTCATTCACGTTACCATCATTACGTTTAAGAGATTCACCATCGTGGAAAGAGAGAGAAAGGGGGACGATACGCAAACGCCTATCTCTAGAAAACGGGGATCTGCTTCCACATGCAGGACAGACGTGCTCGGAGGCCCCACGGGGTCTTCAGCTCCACAGGCTCCGGGGCTCACGCCCGAGTCCGCGCTGCGCACGGACACCAAACTCACCAAGAGAAAGACCCGCGAGGCCTGCATCTCCTCCACCTCCTGCTTTCTGGGCCCCAGCGTGGAACGGCTGGCGCGGGGGCTGCGCCTGCCCCGGCTCGCGGGGGACACAGGAGACACTCCGGCGCACGTCTCCTCTGCCCCCACCCCCCCCAGCCCACCTCTTGCCAAGTGTCCACACAGCATGACCCCGGGCACCCGGATGACTTCGGGGGACTTGCCGGTGCGCCGACGGCTACTCGTACTCCAGGAACTGTTTGTGATAGAAGAGCAGGTACCTGAGGAGGAGAGAGGACAGAACACGCTTACTTCCACCTCCCGAGGGGTCGGAGCAAAACCACCCTGACCAGGACAGCCGCGCTCAGCCTGTCACCGCAGAGAAGAGACGGCAGGGAGGCGGCAGGGCCCCCAGTCCACGACCAGCCCGGCCTCCGTCCACCTGCTGGGCCCTGGCTGTGGCAGCACCCCGGCCCTGTACACGGTCCCTCTCGGAAGGACGCCGGCTCCGGGTCCCAGCCCCAGCCCACCCGCCCGGCCTCCTCACGGCCACCACAGAGCCTCTCAGGGCTGCCCCACTGCTCGCGGCTCCAAGCCCAGACGCCTGCTGGAGCTCACGGCAGCTGGAGTGGGGCAGGAGCCCCGCGGATGGTCTGGAGACCGAGGGAGGCAACGATGAGCAGGAAGGAGCGAACGGGGTGCAGAGGGGCGACGTGGCCCCGGGGCCCCGCGGGACACACCCCTCACTGTCCAGCACGTCTGCAATGCCAGCCTTGGTGATAATGGCGTCGTCACACTTGAACCACTGGTCCTTGTGCTGCCGGATGAAGCTGGTGTAGTGGCCACTCTCCAGGGTCCCCTGGTGGTTGACCACCGCAAACAAGGAGTACCTGGTTTGGGGACGGTGGCGGGAGACGGAGGTCACGACCCTGTCCCCACCAGGGACCACTGTCCCCGCCGGGTAGCCGCCCAGGAGCAAACGCTGACAGGCGACAGCAGCACAGGGGAGAGGAGAATGGGCCCGCCTGGGAGGCGCTGTTGCTGCTCTACCCTCCCCGCCGCCACCAACAGGAGGAATGGGGAGAGGGGCCTCACCGCGATGCGGCGGGGGGGGAGGGGGGAGGCCCCTCCCCGACAGAGGGTCAGTGGCAACACGACAGGAAGCAGGCCAGTGGCCAAGAGCAAGCAAGCCCGGCCGCTGCCCCTCACACGCAGCACCTCCTGGGAGACGCAGGTGGGCCTCCCGCGAAGCCCCCAGCCCCACTCGCGCTCGAGATGCCACTCACTTGTTATCGTTACTGAGACTGTCCACCGGCTGCTGGTACTGTCCGTTCATCCTGTTCTCTTTGCTGTAACAAACGGCGCAAACTCAGGCTCGATTAAAACAGTTCACTAACAACCTGCGGTTCACGTGGTATCGTGGGCACCGGGGACGCGCGACACCGGACGCCGTGCTGGTGCGGCTTCCACGGGTCCGCTTCTCCCAACAGCTCCATCTCAGGCAGAGATGACCCCCGAGTTACGGTGGGGAAACCGAGGCCCAGGCTGGGAAGCGGACTGCCGAGATCGAGGCTCAGAGCCGGCCCAGACCCACGTCTCCCTGCCAACCCCCAGGCGGGCGGGCAGGCAGCCTCCCCAGATCGTCCTGAGGCCCCGCCAACACTGGACTCAGGCCTCTGTTGCTTTAAGCCGCCCCGCCTGTGGTTATTATTCACTAAGGCAGCCCTCCTACCAGGAAGCGGCCTCCTATTTTTGCAAGGGTAAATTTCAAGCAGTCCCTGATACAAAGACTCCAAAACTACAACCACAAAACCACTGTGTTGATTTGTATCCAATCTCAGTGCCTGTGGCTGAAACGCCTGAAATGCTGCCCTGAGCCAGCTGGTAGGAGGACAGCCTCCCTCACACAGGGACGGTCCTGGGGTGAGATCAGGACAGTGAGGTGTCACCGACGAAGTGACATCAGGGCCCACTGGGGCCTCATCAGGGACCTGGTGCCACGCCCACCCGACCACAGACACGGAGGACGAACCTGGAGGCCATGAAGGGGGTCATGTCCAGCTCCAGGGGGAAGGACACGTAGGTGGTGATCTTGCGCCGAAGCTTGGCCGAGTGTTCGAATCGCTGCAGAAGTGGGGGTGGGAAGGCTGTAGGGCTCCTCCGACAGCACAGTCTCTGTGGCTCCCTAAGTGGGCCTTTCCTGCATTTTCCGAACCGCCCTTGGCCACAGCTAGAGCTCAGAGTCCACAGGGCGACATAACCCACAGGGCTCAGCCCAGCCGTGAAATGATGCGCCGTGTGGACCTAGCACGGTGCCCGGTGGGACAAACAGGTAGGGCTGGGGATTTGGTTTCTGTCTTACATCTTTAAAGGGTCGTGAAGTAAAAGAACGAGCAACAGAGACTGTATGCTTTACATGTAAAATCAGATCGCAAATACCCAAGACCAGCAGACACACTGTCTCTGCTGCATATTCTCTCACAATACATCATACACATGATTCATATCTGCTACTGGCCCTTCACAGGAACGTGCTGACCCCCAGACTAGACCTTAATGCTAAGGGTCCTTGCTTTCAAGTAAAAGAAAATCGGAAAACTTGGGGTGAGGACAGAAGAACTTGGAGGAGAGGAGCAGTAAATCCCTAACCACCCCCACCCAGAGTAACTCACCCTATTTTCATTATGAAGCAATTACTTTCTGATTCACGGGCAAACCTCCCGGCGACAGACACGAGCAGAGTAGTTTACAGGCACCGCCCTCTCTGCTCCACAAGCACGGACGGACTCTGCACACCCACCCACCCTCAGGCCCCGCGTGCTCAGGGAACTCACTTTGAGATGGAAGCAGGCCACGATGGGCAGCTTCTTCATGGTGAGCTGCTTTGTGGACTCCTGGTAGCTATGGCAACCGCTACACTTGATCTTGGCACTGCTTCCTAAGTGCTCTGGTCTGGTAAACCTGCAACGCAGTGAAAACATGGATTTTTAGGGAAAAAAGATGGCAGCAGTAAGAGAGGAAAAAGAGAAAAGTTATTTTATCACTTTCAGGGGGTTCACGTCCTTCCTAAAAACACACACACAGTTAGGGACGTTTATAACTTCACAATGAAAAAGCTATTCCTTCCTTTCTCTTCTCGAGCACTTCAAAAAATATTTATCCTCAACTTTTTTGGAAAATGAAAGTCTGGTGAACTCAAAATAATTTTCTAACTACTGTTAAGACCCAGCAATCAAATCTGTCCCTGAAAAGTGACAACCAGCACTCACACAAAAACTGTACATGAGTGGCTACTGCACTTTTATCTGTAAAGGCCAAAAAAAAAGCCCGGAAGCAATGCAGATGTCCTTCAGCGAATGAGTGGTTAAGCCGTGTACACCATGGAATACTAGTAAGCAATAAAAAGGAAACAACTGGTGATGCACACAACCTGGATGAATCTCCAGAGAATTAGGATGAGTGAAAAAGTCAATCCTTGAAAGGTTACATGATGTATGATTCCACGGATGTAACATTCTTGAAATGCGGAATTTCTAGAAATGGAGAACAGATTTGCGGCTGCCAGGAGTTAAGGAGGCAACAAGGGTAGGAGGTGCAGGACGTGTGGTTGTGAGGGACCCTGCGGGGGTGCAAGCATCCTGCATCTTGACTGCAGGGATGTTGAGATCCTGCTGACTGTGACATTGTGCTGTAATTTTACAAGATGTTACCACTGGGGAAAACTGGGGAAAGAGTACACAGGATCTCTCTGGATTGTATCTTACAACTGCACGCAAAACTACAATTATCTCAAAATAAAAAGTTTAATTAAAAACGTTTTCATCACCTTCAGAAAAGGCCACGAGCCACAGCAGGAGGGCGGCCCTGCTGGGTGTGACTCTGTCCGTTAGTCACTAAAGGCCGCGGACCTCCAGCCTCTGCTGGGGTGGGGGGCACTCAGGGACAGGAACAGCTCGTCTGCTGGCCATCCCGTCTTCCCTCAGCTTTCGTGCGGGAACGTGGGGCCCTGGGGGGCCTGGCTTTACCAGGACTTTCCCCGAGCAGCCACGAGGAAGGGCCCCCTCCCCACAAGGCGCGGACGCCTCACCTCCGCAGGCAGTCCGTGAGGGTCGTGGTTCCCGACGCGTGGCTCTCTCCGTTCACCACGCTGCCCTCGCTCCCAGGGCTCAGTGGCCAGAAGGGGGTGGAAGAGCCGGGCAGGTCCAGGCTGATGTCCCAGAAGGGGTCGATGGTGGTGGAGACCCCACTAGGAGCAAGCAGGGGGGACGGGTGAGCACCACGGCCCGGGGGCAGCGCAGCGACAAGGCCCCGCGACGGTTGGCCGGCAGCACCGGGGCTGCAGAGGCCGCACTTACTGGCACACTTGGCAGGTGACGTCGGACTGCAGCCCCCCTGTGAAGATCTGGTCTATGATGCAGTTGCAGTGGTTAGGGTTGTTGGCCTTTTTCCCATTATCATCACCTGGCAAGAGATGGTGGCTCTGGGACCCCGGGCCCCCAAGGCAGCCAGCCCACTGCCAAGCCGCTGACCCAAGGGGCAGAGCTGGTGCAGCAGGAGGGCCCGGGTTTCCACAGGGGCGCGGGAGGGACGCGCCATGTGCTTTCAGTTTCTCCCCCTTGCTCCTCCCTGTGAACAGTTCCCTGCCACCCACCTGGCAGGCCCAGCAACAGGCCCTGAGAAACAGCCCCCGCCCTCACCTCTGCAGCGCCCACCTGTGCAGCGCCCACCTGTGCAGCGCCCACCTGTGCAGTGCCCACCTGTGCAATGCTCACCTGTGCAGTGCCCACCTGTGCAGTGCCCACCTGTGCAATGCTCACCTGTGCAGTGCTCACCTTTGCAGTGCCGGTGCAAGACGTCCAGGGCCGCGATGAGGAACTCGTGCGCGTCCTGCTGCTCGTAGCCCGCCAGGTGCCGGGCGTGCGTCCACACCAGGTGCAGCAGCTTGTATGGGATGTGGGGGGACCGGTGCCCCGAGTAGAACTGCTTGGAGAGAAGGAGAAGCACCCTCGTCAGGAGCGCGTGCCTCCCTCGAACACAGACGCAGACGCGCACGTCTGACAGCCGCCCGGAGCCTCCGCTGGCGAGCGCGGCCCAAACAAGGCATTTCCTTTCCTTTTCAGGCAAACTGTGTTTTCACAGACTCTGAGTCTGCTCAGAGTTTTCTCCATTCCCACCACCTGTTTTCTAGAAATAAGCCAAAACGATGAACGGCGACAAACTTTTGTCAAACACACACACATACACTAAAAGGTGACTTGTGCCGTGTGAAACGCGTACCCCCGTAAACCTGAACCTAAAAACCAACCTGACAGAGATGAACTCACCACCAACAGTGCCCTAGTGAGGCCCCCCCATCAGCCCGTTCTCCAAGGCACCCGTGTCCCCGTTTTGGCCCAACGATATCATTCAGCTTGCTCACTCCTGTGACCCCAGGAGCCGCCGTCAGGCTAGGCTGTAAGTATGTGGGGACTGGCTAAGCCAGGCTAGGAGTCGGGAAACTTCTGAAAAGGGCCAGACCGTGAATCATTCCAGCTCCGCAGCCAGATGGGTTCAGGCAGCCGGGGCCCAACAGGGAAAACGAGAGGATGTGATCAAAGGCTGACAAAACCAGACCCGGCCGAGTCTGCTGGCCCAGGGCCGACGCCTGAAGAACCCCTGGCTCCCTGCAGCACCTGAGGGAGCGGCTGGGCTGCACTCCCGCTCTGAGAAGGGGGGGTCCAGCCTGCGAGCCCATCAGGACAGAACCTGATGTCCACGGCAGGGGCCCAAAGACAGAGGCCTCTGGTGACACACACAGTCAGCAGGGCCGGTAACAGGAGACCCGCCCGTCCTGTGGACAAAGCCGGAAAGCGGCAGGTGACGGGGAGGGGCGGGCACCTGCCACGTGCACCCCTGTGAGGCAGCCGCGAGCCTCTGCAGATGACCAAGTGCCTCACCCAACGATCCCTCTTGGGAAGGACGTGCGATTCCACAGTCGGCACGTCTGTGGACGTTCAGAGCCCACCCCGTGACGGCCCGGCCCCCTCCCGGCCCAGGCGCACCTCCTGGAAGAGGGAGGACATCTCGCAGACCAGGCAGGAGCCAGGGCTCTGCATCTCGCAGCGGTGCCGGTCGGACAGGAAGAAGTCGCGCAGCAGCGGCGTGTGCGTCAGCGCCTGCACGATGCAGTTCATGAAGCACGTGTTCCCGAGGTTGATGAGGCCGCGGAGACCTGGCAGGCAGAGCGCGGGGTGGAACCTACTTCTAACGTCTGCGCCCCACCCGTGGGAAACGTCCCGAGGCGTGCTCGCGCCCACCCCCACCAGCCCTCACCGCCCAAAGGCTCCCAGTAACAACAGGGCAGGGCAGGGAGGAGCCTCTGCGACAAGCTGACAGCCACGCTGCACCTCCCCGGAGAATGCACCCTCCACCCAGCGTGCCCGCCCACCTATGGTGCAGTTGGACGTGATCTTCCGTCGCTTGGGGTTGTGTTTCAGCAGCTCGAGCTCCCGTTTGGTCGGCTCCCACGTTGAAAACTTCTCCCCGACACCTAAGCGGGTGGAAGGTGCCGTTAGCTACACTCTGATCGTGTCTACGAACCAGCGTGGTGGCAGCACAGGGTTTATCAGATTCAAAGGCGGGCAACGTAGGGTCCTTCTAAGACCCTGTTCCAGACAATGGAAGGAGCTTCTCTCAGAGAGCGTGCCGTGGATGAACCACATCACATTCCCAGAGGAGGAGAGGAGAGCGGGACCTTGGGGGACAGCTGCCCCAGCACCAGCGGTCTCCTCAGCCTTAATTACACCCTGAGCAGAGGGACCACGGCACCAGTGCCCACAGGGAGCGCTGGGTGGCGACGGGGATGAAGGGACGGCTGTACCCACCAGACTTAAACCAAGGACGGCAGCAGGGCCACCTGCACCCCAGTGCACAGCCTACTCCTCAGAGGCACTGGCTCCACGCACCTAGAGCTCAACACGCTCTGAAGGACGCACCGTCCTGCTGACACATGGAATTGTGGAATGATTTTAGAAGAATCCTACTTTTTCCTGGGACGTGCATTTCTCAGCCCTGCGGTTTGACTGTTCCGCACGAAGAAATAACATCCTCAGCCTTAGCCTCACCTGCAACGTTACTAAGGTTTGGAGGTGGAAGAGAACAGGAAGTGGACTAAAGAGACTGTTCTCCAGAGAAGGTGGGCTCCTCGGCTCTGATGACCGACAGCCCTGGCTTGTGCTCCGTTCTCTAACATGGCACGTCTACAGAGGAGCACAATTACGGCAAAACATTGTAAACCACATGCTGGGTTGTACGTTCTCTGTGGAGAGACGGTCACAGGCCAGTGGGGCTTTCTACACCTATTACTGTTTCGACCCATGACCGTGTGCTGGAAATGAGAACAAGAAAGAAAAAACTATCAGGGAAACCAAAAACAGGCAGCTGAACAAAAAAGAAAAGAGCTGCATAATGTTCACGTGTGCCGCTGACTACGTGCCAGCGAAGGGACGGGAGTGGCGGCACGGCTCCACGGCCACCGCGCAGTCAGTGGGACACACGTGCCGCCCCTGCCCCGTCCCCCGCATGAGCCCCGCGCCCTGGTAATAAGGGCGCCTTAGCGGGAAGGGCACTAGAGGAACCTCTTGTCCTGATGAGATGACTCCGGGCGAGCTCCTGGATGGGCACTGGCCACCAGAAAGACCAGGGAAGCTTGGAATTTGCAGCACCCGCACGGCCGGCCCCAACTGCTCCACAGAGGGGAGGGGGCTGGAAATGGGGTTAATGATCCATCAGGCCTCCAGGAAGAAGCCCCCATAACATCCCAGCAGCACAGGGTTCGGGGAGCGAACCAGGTGGGTGAACATTCCACACCGAGGGGGTGATGCACCCCAACTCCACGGGGACCCTCCCCAGCCCTGCCCCGTGCCTCTCTCTCTCCATCTGGCTGCTCATCTGTGTCCTTTATCACATCCTCTAATGACCTGGTGAACCTAAGTGTCTCTCTGAGTTCTGTGAGCTGACTAGCAAACGCTCCAGTCCAGGGGGGTCCTGGGAACCTCCGATCTACAGCTGGACGGTCAGGAGCACAGATGAGACCCTGGACTTGAGACTCCAGCATCTGAAGTTGGGGAGGGGATCCCGTGGGGCCTGACACCTCCAGGCCGACTGTGTCAGAACTGAGTTGATCCGTAGGATACCCAGCCGGCGCCACAGGGAATTTCTTGGCAGGGAACTGACCCCCCCCCAAAAAACACTTGGTGACCAGAAGTGCCGGGTGTGAAGGGTTCTGTGCAAGTAAAGGAGACTCACGGGAGAGAAACACTCATCAGGGAAGAGCTGGGTTGTTCCTACACAAGAAGGAAAGCCTGGAGTTCTCCCTTTCCGGCTACAGAGGCACCGCACAGGACGGAGAGCGCGCTCCTGAACTAAGGGGCCTCAGCGGTAGATTGTTGCATTTTTCCTCTGGGAAGTTTAATTCTGTGCTGACACAGGTTTAGCATAACCTAACCAGTTAAGAGGGTTTTTTTTCCAGTTAAGAGTTTTAAGAGATTCAGCGGTAATTTAATGAGAAAACAGTCCACCCTCCTGGAAGCAGTCAGCATACACATCCTGCAGTTACCGAGGAGCTGCTTTCTGGGCAGCTACCAGGGACGAGGCAGCACAAAATCCCTGCGGACACTGTGCCTGGTTCAGCCCCGTGTCTGTAAAAATGCCCGGCGACCGGAGAGGCTAGGTTGGGGGTGTCTCTCTCAACCCCAGCTAAGCCCTCACAGCAGCCGCAGGCCTGTGGGCACCGCGCCTGCCTCCCCTGGCCCCCCCGTGAGCCTGCAGGAGGGAGCAGGCAGGTGTAGGGGCTCCTCCCCTTCAACAGAACCATCCCCCTCCCTCCCCACCCCCGCCACACCCTGACAGACAAGGGGGCAGGGAATGCAGGGCTAAGACACAAGCAGGCATGCAGATCTCAGGAAAACCAAACCTTGCATTTTCCAAGCTTTCCGCTGTTCCTCTTTGGCAATGATTTCTATGTCTTTGTCATAAATGTAGTCCTGACACAAGAAGCAGTAGATACCTCCATACATAAGCTCTATGGCTGAAAAGAGAAAAGAGGGAAGCGACAAAATTCAATTAAAAGTCGAAAGGTAATGCTTCAGGACACAAATTAAACAAGCAAGTTTTTTAGGCATTTCACTGCACCGTTTCTCAAAGCAGAGAATCCCATTATTACAAAAGGTTGTCCCCCCACTTCAGATGGTGTACCCTAAGCAGAGGAGGCACGTGAATTTTTTTTGGAAGCTCCCGCCAAGGGCTGAGGAACCTGAGGGAGAAAGAGGCGCCACGACCATATTTTACGAAGGACCCGACCCCCAGGTACCAGGAGCCTCTGCCTATCCTCTGAAACAAGGGGAACTCGCATTCCTATCAGCCCACGAGGACTCGTGGCGTCCGGATGGGCAGCAGGGCCCCAAGCAAACAGCCTGGAGGGCGTGCCCAGAGCTCCCGGTGAGCGGATCCTGCACTTCCTAAACTGAAAACAGGCATGAAACCCAGCCCTTAGTTACTTCCTCACGAAGATAAACAAGAGAAAAGTCCTCGAAGCACCTGGAAGGAACTCTGCTCAATTCAACAATTAAAAAGAATTCCCCTTACCCTCAGAATGGGTGAAAATATTTGCAAACGAATCAACGGACAAAGGATTAATCCCCAAAATACATAAACAGCTCATGCAGCTCAATATTAAAAAAACAAACAACCCCATCCAAAAATGGGCAGAAGACCTAAATAGACATTTCTCCAAAGAAGACATAGAGATGGCCAAGATGCACATGAAAAGATGCTCAACGTCACTAATTATAAGAGAAATGAAAATCAGAACTACAATGAGGTATCCCCTCACACCAGTTAGAATGGGCATCATCAGAAAATCTACAAACAAGGAATGCTGGAGAGGGTGTGGAGAAGAGGGAACCCTCTTACACTGTTGGTGGGAATGTAAATTGATACAACCACCATGGAGAACAGTATGGAGGTGCCTTAAAAAACTAAAAATAGAATTACCACATGACCCAGCAATCCCACTACTGGGAATATACCCAGAGAAAACCATAGTTCAAAATGGTTGAACTAGGGGACTTCCCTGCTGGCGCAGTGGTGAAGAATCCTTCTGCCAACGCAGGGGACACGGGTTTGAGCCCTGGTCCAGGAAGATCCCACATGCCACGGAGCAACTAAGCCCGTGCGCCACAACTACTGAGCCCATGTGCCACAACTACTGAAGCCCTCACGCCTGAGCCTGTGCTCCGCAACAAGAGAAGCCACCACAATGAGAAATGAGAAGCCTGCATACCACAACGAAGAGTACCCCCACTTGCCACAACTAGAGAAAACCGGCATGCAGCAACAAAGACCCAATGCAGCCAAAAATAAATAATTAAAAAAAAAAGGTTGAACTATGGACAAATGCACCCCAATGTTCACTGCAGCACTGTTTACAACAGCCAGGACATGGAAGCAACCTAAAGGCCCATCAACAGACAAACGGATAAAGAAGATGTGGCACATGTATACAATGGAATATTACTCAGCCATAAAAAGGAACAAGATTGGGTCATTTGCAGAGACATGGTGGACCCAGAGACTGTCACACAGAGTGAAGTCTGAAAGAGCAAAACAAGTACTGTATATTAACACGTGTATGTGTGGACTCGAGAAAAATGGTTCAGATGAACCTGTCTGCAGGGCAGAAATAGAGACACAGATGTAGAGAACAAATGTATGGACACCAAGGGGGGAAAGTGGCAGGGGGCGGGGGGATGAACTGGGAGATTGGGATTGACGTATATACACTAGTATGTACAAAATAGGTAACTACTAAGAACCTGCTATATAGAAAATAAACAAAATAAAATTCCAAAAAAAAAGAGAATCCCCTTGACTCAGACTCACCAAGGGACAGCAGACGTCTGCCAGGCGACGGGACACAGCTCGGAGCACAAACCCGGCCCCGCCACCTGCGCACCTCTGAGCACCTCTGAGCACCTCTGAGCTCCCCCACGTCCCCTGTGGTATAACAGGGACAGCAACAGCACTGGCACAGGTCTGCATGGTCACTAAGTTCATATAAACAACTAAGCGGCACGCACCTCCTGGTAAATGGTAATGTCTTAACAAATCACAGCTTTTATCATATTTCATGTCTTTTTTAAAAAAATTATTATTATTTTTTGGCTGTGTTGGGTCTTTGCTGTGCGCAGGCTTTCTCTAGTTGCGGCGAGCGGGGGCTACTCTTCGTTGTGGTGCGCGGGCTTCTCGTTGCGGTGGCTCCTCTTGTTGCGGAGCACGGGCTCTACACGCTTGGGCTTCATTAGTTGCAGCACGCAGGCTCAGTAGTTGTGGTTCACGGGCTCTAGAGCGCAGGCTCAGTAGTTGTGGCGCACAGGCTTAGGTGCTCTGTGGCATGTGGGATCTTCCCGGACCAGGGCTCGAACCCGTGTCCCCTGCATTGGCAGGCGGATTCTTAACCACTGTGCCACCAGGGAAACCCCCATATTTCATGTCTTAAGGTACAAAGACACAGGTCAATGATACTGTGGTGGATCGAAAGCAGATCTATCAAGACTCAAAGTAGCAATTTCAGAGAATCCCAGGCCTACCACTGCCCCTCCCTAAAAACCTACAAAATTCCGACCAAGTCTCTGCAAGTCCATGTCGAGGCTGCTCTGGAGGCCGGGGCCAGCTGCCCTGCGTTCTGCCCACTCCTGGGCAGTGTCACTCCTGCCCCGGGGACCAGAGCAAGCTGGCAGAGGCGGGCTTACGGTGGGAAGGAGGGACACTTCCAGGGAAGCGGCGGGGTTCAGCGAGAAACAGGCCAGCCGCATGGCGAGGGCAGAGGGAGGTCCCATGTCCCCAGATGAGTCTGCCTCCCACCCGCTGTGTGGGGCTGGGACCGCCAGGAGGGGCGGGGGCCGACAGCGGGCGCTGGGGCCCCGGGGTGAAACGAGGAGGCAGCTTGCCTGACCCCAGCCCCACACAAAACTTCACTCCACACGGTCAGCAACCTACATCACAGCTAAAAGTATAAGAACTCAGACACACACGGGTAAGCGTCCCGACCTCAGGTTTGACAATGGATTCTTAGTCTGACACCGAAAAAGCATGAACAACCAAAGGGAAATGCTGTTACTGCACACTCAAACTACGGCGCAGTGTAAACATTATTTTTATATTCAGTGGGAAACCAAAGAACGTGTGCCTCGCTTTATTGAGATCGCTGCTTTATTGAGGTGGTCTGGAACCGAACCCACAGTTATCTCCAAGGTCTTCTGGTATCCAAAAGAAATGAAAACGTATGTCCACAAAGAAACTCACACAGGCATGTTTATAGCAGCATTATTCATAAAAGCCAAAGGTGGGAACCCAAATGTCTACCAGTGGATGACTGGATAAACAAACTCTGGAATATCAACACAAAGGAATGCTATTCAACCACAAGGAAATGAACTGACACTTCATGAACCCTGAAAACCTGCCGAGAGACAGAAACAGACACAAAAGGCCGTGTGTTGTATGATTCCTTTTATATGAAATATTCAAGACAGGCGAATCCACAACTGAAGACAGATCAGCGGATGCCAGGGCCCGGAGAGGATTACGTAACAGAGACATGTATTCTTCGAGGAGACGAAAAAGTTTTGAAAATAAAGAGAGATGGTATTTCCACACACCACATGGCAAGTGACTAAATGCACTGAACTGTACTGGTTGAAATGGTTAATTGTGTGTTCTCTGAATTTCACCTCAATATGGAATTCAAAAACCCAATGCAACACCTACAGTCACGGCAGTTCCTCCAGAAAATTATCTCACAGTCAAGATAACCAAGGACAAAGGCTTGACTGCATCAGGACTAAAGGCTGAGCAGACAGTCAGTGGTCCCGTGGTACCCAAGGCGGGGCTGGTTCCAGGACCCCCGCGGACACCGGGATCCAAGGATGCTCCAGCCCCTTGTAGCAAATGGTGTGGCATCTGCACAGAACCTACATCCTCCTACACACTTTAAATCACCTCCAGGCTGCTTTACCTAATACAGCGTGAATGCCACGTAAGTAGCTGCCTGGACCAGACAAATTCAAGTTTTGCTTTTTGGAACTTTCTGGAATTTGTTTTTCGATCTGAGCTTGGCTGGATCTGCAGGTGCAGAACCCATGGAAACAAAGGGCCAGCTGCCCAGGAACCCAGCTGCCTGGATGCCGGTGAGACGCTCCCAGGAAGAGAGGAGGCCGTCAACCCACTCACCCGGGAACCCCCGGCCGACAGGCACCAGGCAGGCGCGTGTCCCCCTCCCTCCAGCCACAGGAGGATCCTGAGATGGAGGGAAACGTCACCCGCTCAGAGGGGAGCCGATACCCCCTCTTATGCCCACATACATCCTCACACCCTCTGGGAAAACTAAAATAACGCTTCCTAGAGGCAGACACAAAGCTAAAAGCACTCCTTTCACAGCCTCTGTGGCTCACGCAGGCAACATCCACGGGCCCCTGTGTCTCGACATCAAACAAAAACCTGTACGAAACTAAGGAGCACGAAACCAAATCTTACTCAGTGACCTGGATCCCAACATCGTCCCCCGCACAGCAAACCGGCCGGCAGCGGGTCAGGACGGGCCCTTCCTCCTGGGGGCCACTTCCGCCACGTCACACCAGGCAGGGTCACAGGGCAGGTCGGACAGAGGAGCAGAAGCTTCGTCCTCCCACAGGCCGCCAGCAAAGACCCCATAGCTACCGACGTGCTGGTTTTAACTGAACACTCGCAAAAAAGCAAATACTCAGACGAGACTCCCCGTGGGCCTCTCACGCCCCTCCGCTTAGAAGCCGCAAGCCCTGGGAGAAATCCTTCTAAGCGTCCACGTCAGGCCCCAGGGTTATTCTGCGGGGCTCCCAGAGGCAGGACTCGGCCCAGGAATCACGGCCCCTTGGCCCTCAAACGTCAAGCCGCCGCTCTGAGGGGCTCTAGGGGTAACGGGGAGCAGCTCGAGACGCAGGGCCGGGGCGGGCGATCCCTTCCCTGGCGGGGCTCCTCTCCCGTGCCCTCCCCTGCCATGTGGACACAGAAAGCTAAGCTCTGGCTTTGTTAACACACACGCACACACACGCTCACACACACAGCCTGCAATAAACTCCTGGGCTCTCCCACTTTGTGGTTTTGTCTCTTGAAGAAAACCTTCTAAAACTTATTCATTCTGGCCAAAGTAGAGGCAGAGTTTATCAATCAGGTTGATAAAATTACTAAGCACACAAATTTCTCGAGTGACTTTTGTAGATGATGCTAGGTAACAATAAGATTCTCAGCCCTTTGCAGCGCAAAGGTGTTTCCAATTTTCCATGACCCTTTTAACCACACAGTATCACAGCCCCGGTGTGAGAGGAGCCTAAGCGGGTCTGGTCCCAGAATCAGATGGTATTAAGCACAAAGATCTACATGAACTCACCACCACAGAATCCCACCACACCCGTCCTGCCCCATCAGACCTTCCCTCTGGTCCCTCGTGGGGAAGGGGGACGGAATTGCTGACCCCCGCCCTGCCGGGCAGCCGCTCACCCACAGCCTGTGAAGCACCACCAGGGCCACCAGCTCTCCTTCCAAAAAGGCCACTTAGCTCCTGGTGACAGGCAGACCCCCAGCACTGGCTGCAAGTTCTCAGCTGCAAATGAAATGAGGCCCGACCTCCGGAGATGACCGAGTTTGAACGAGCCCATTCCTACTACTTAAAAGGCCTGAGACTATCTTTCACTGGAAGGCTAGGTCACACCAAGTTACGTTCTAGAAGAGGGTCTGTGGTCTGGACCTTCTGAAAGTGATTTTCTTACAGATATCCTAACAACCTCAGCATCGTCTGACAGAAAACACAATCCTCAACGAGGGAAACATTTAGTGACAACGGTCAGAAAATCAAGCCAAGAGCAAAACTCAGCTTCGCATCGCCTCTGGAAGGCACTAGTGTCTGAACGTGAAACGTGAGCTCCCCTCAACGGCAGCCTCTCTGCAAACACTGACGACACTGCAAACCCGTTACAGAAATCACTACGTTCACCCAGTACCCCCCAACCCCACGCTGACACCACTAACCTAAGGCTGCATTTAAGACCTGCGCAAATTTCTGCCTGATCTAATACCTAACCGCGCTTTGCAGAGAGAAAGATGAGTCTCTGATGCTCCGTTAAAGAAAGTCACCATTCAGGGTTATACGACTTTATGTGACCTCAGGCACGCTGGGCACGTGCCCCTCTCGTGGGTTCAGTGTCTCTCTTTCCTCTCCCCCTGGAGTTCCACGAGGAGCACAAGCTATTTCAGACAAAGGTGGACTCCCGAGAGAGTGGAAGGTCAAATTCGCAGAACGAGAGTCGGGGAGGTGACCCCAAAGCCCAGGAGGCGTCGTGCGGTCTTACCCAGGTTGTGCCTTTTCGACTTGGCGTGCTCGTGAATGTGTTTCTTCGTGAAACAGCCAAAGAAGACGCAGTGGAGGCACGAGTGCAGCCGGTTCAGGTGGACGCCGCACACGTGACACACGCACGACTTCGCCTGAAATGCAGAAGAGAGAGTTAGAAACCAGGGGTTCTCGGAAACACCAGGGCAAGGTGATCCCAACGGGCGCAGCTCGGGAGGAAGGGAAAGCCCGGATCTCCTCTCAAGGTCTCACTGCCTAAAAGGTCATTTCGTTGATCCTGTCAGTTGCCCCCCAAAAGGCACGTTGGCCATTTAGCTCAGAAGTGGCTCCGTGTAAGAGACCTCGGCCCCTTCTCCAACTCAAAGCCGCTCAGACAAAGCGCCTGGAGCTCCAGGAGCTGCCAAGGTCCTTCCGCATCCAACGGGGCCCCCAGCCCCAGGACACCTTTAACCTGCACTTCACTTCCAGTTTCATATTCCAGGTTCCAAGACCACAGCAAACCTATAATCCGTCAATCCAGATGAATATGAATCAAAGCAATACACAGAAACAAGAAAAAGAACGGCGTGTGTCCGAGAACCAGACCACGGAAACCTAAAGTTCTAACCTCAGCGATTAAGAGCACCATGGTAGACAATTCTCGTCCCCCCGAACCACCCAGGACGCCCGGCACGACAATTACACCCGCGCCAACTGTGAACCCCTGCAGGCCACCAACTTGAACTCCCAGCCCCTGCGATGACACCGCACGACACAACCCTCTCGCTCTGACTGGGGTGCAGGGAGCCTGGGGTGAAGGGAGGTGGAAGATGAACAGGGCCTGGGAGGTAGGGTTAAAACAGAAAAGGCCCAGAAACAAAGGACAGCAGCACAAACGTGACACGGACACGGGCGCCGGGTACTGGAGCGATTACGCCCTTTGGTCCTCACGGCCAGCCCCGAGGAAGGCCGCGAGCCCTTCTGACATGCGTCTGCTGGTGGCCACACAGCGGCACGTGGGCTAGGACCTCCTGACCCCGCAGGCCACGCTCCCCCACGGAGCCCAGAAGCAGCCCCTCCGAGCCTCACTCTGCACACACAAGACCCAGGCAGGAGCCGCCCGGGGGTCAGGCTGACCGTCCACCCTCGATGGCAGGCGTGGAGGGCATGGCCTGAGGACGAGGCGCAAACCTCTCTTCACGTGAAACTCGAGTCACAGTTTTTCCACCAGGGGAAGCTGCACAGAGACTTCGTAGAAGAGCAGAAAGTGGCACAGGGGAGCTGGGGGAGGCGTGTGGATGCTCCCTCAAGACGAGAGCCCCGAGGCTGGAGCACGGGTCTGAGGACAGGCACACAGGGTGGCCAGACCACCAAGTTCCTCGACGCCAGGTGCTCAGCTTGAGAAACACAAATCCTCACGGGCAGCCACAGGCCAACAGGCCCTGTCCTGGAAGCACAGCCTCAGGAAAACCTCACGCCCAGGCTGATCTCCCACCTCCACGTACAACTTATCTCTGGATCCAAATGCAACTCTGATCATTACCACCGTATTTCTTCTTGACTAAGAGCCACTCTCAGGACTCCCCTGGTGGTGCAGTGGTTAAGAATCCGCCTGCCGGGCTTCCCTGGTGGTGCAGTGGTTGAGTCTGCCTGCTGATGCAGGGGACACGGGCTCGCGCCCCGGTCCGGGAAGATTCCACGTGCCGTGGAGCGGCTGCGCCCGTGAGCCATGGCCGCTGAACCTGCGCGTCCGGAGCCTGTGCTCCGCAACGGGAGAGGCCACAGCAGTGAGTGGCCCGCGTACCGCAAAAAAAAGAAAAAAGAAAAAAGAACAATCCGCCTGCCAATGCAAGGGACACGGGTTCAAGCCCTGGTCCAGGAAGATTCCACATGCCGCGGAGCAGCTAAGCCTGTGCGCCACAACTACCGAGCCTGCGCTCTAGAGCCCACGCACCACAACTACTGAGCCCACGTGCTACAACTACTGAAGCCCGTGTGCCTAGAGCCCGTGCTCCGCAACAAGAGAAGCCACTGCAATGAGAAGCCCGCGCACGGAAATGCAGAGTAGCCCCGGCTCGCTGCAACCAGAGAAAGCCCACATGTGGCAACAAAGACCCAACGCAGCCAAAAATTAATTGATTAAATAAATAATTTTAAAAAAAAGAGTCGCTCTCAATGGCTAGTTATTTACCTTTTTTTGACACCAGCAAGAGGTTATCTCTGCAAACCCTGTATGGTCAAGCCCCAACGCAGGCCTCGGCACAGGGGGCCCGTGTGTGTCCTCGGGTGGCGCAGGGTGTTCCTGTGGATGGCAGGATGTCCAGCGACATCCCTGGTCTCCACCCTGGGTCGCAGGGGGCGCCTGCCCCCTCCCAGCAGGAAGCCCTGCTCTGGGACAATCCCACAGGAGTGCGAGGGTCACTGGAAAGACTTGTCTAAAATGCTGCGACGCTAGAAACAGTAGTTGTATCACCTGTTTATTCTTCCAATGAGCTATCTAAGGAATTCGCTAACTCTAACTGTCCTCAGTAACACAAGGACGTTTTTATTTACTTATTTTTTAACACAGGGAAATTTTTAAATTACATTAATGGTTACTTGATGTGTAACAAATGATGCTTCCCAGTACCCGTGAAATTTTTCTTTTATATAAATACTGTTAGGAACAGATTCCTGGAAGCTGTTTACTGCTCACTACAGCTACAGATGTAAAGATTAAGAGGTATTCCTTATTTTTATCACTCAGGATATATTAAATGTGTGATCGTAATTTTATTAAAATTCCTCTACGAACTTAAAAAGAAATCCAATTCTGTTTATATAATTTGAGAAAGAATTCAGGACTAGCATTACCCTGAAAATACAGACAAATCAGGATAAGTGTATAATTTTAACACATCATTTTTTCGCCTTAAAACACACAAAAGCTTTAAAAACAGATCAAAATTAAGCCCTGAATTTCAAATGTAAATCTGTATCACCTGTTCTCTTGCAGAACTTCACAAAAGAAAAATCTGCCTAAAGAAGAAAGGCTTCAAGAATTTTAGCTGCACAAAAAAAGAACTACAGAAATTAAACAGAGGCAGATGGGCTACAACCAGAAACAAAGAAACTGGCCACATCCTGAAACAGATGAGGGAAAAGAAAGCCCCAGATTAAACACACACACACAATCTGACTAAACCTTTTCCACATAAATAAAGCCCATGCTCAGGACTCATTTTAAGGCCGTGAATCCGATTTTATAACTAGGGCTCCACTGACAGGCAGTCCCAAGCACAAACCTATTTTCCATAACCACCAAGGACGCGCCACCTGCCCCAGGCGGAAACGCCTGGCTTAGCTGGTGCTTCGGTGAACGGCAGCTCCCACAAGCCAGTGACTCCAGCATGATGGGCATGAGGAGGGAGGGGAGACAGCTTGGGAATTCCCGCTGGGCAATTCTGGCCCTATCTGAGCACAAAAATGAGTAGCGGAAAGAATGGGTTATATGCACTGTACAAAAAAAGAATCCCCCAGGTCCACTCTGAAACCGACACTGCACACACACGCTGCGCAGTCTTCTTCATAGGAGGATTCCACCTACCGTAGTAGAAAAGACTACAAAGCCTTCATTTTATAATCAGCATAGTAATAGCTGATTCACGTAAAAAAAAAAAGGGGGGGGGTGAAAAAATACTGGGTCATTCACAATAGTTAAAAGGTGGAAACAGCCCAGATCTCCATTAATGGATCAATGGATACACAAAATATGGTGTATCCACACAACGGAGTACTACCCAGCCATAAAATAAAACAAAGTACTAATTCACGCTACCACGTGGATGAACCTTCGCAACACGCTAAGTGAGAAAAGTCAGACACCAAAAGTCACATACTGTGTGACTCCGTTTATATGAAATGTCAAGCATAGGCAAATCCAGAGAGAGACCAGAGATCAGAGGCTGCCGGGGGCTGGAGGGAGCGTGGAGAGCAGGTGACACGGTTTGAAGCTTAACAGAGGCAGCTGGTGACTGTACAACGCTGGGAACTCACTGGTATTTTAAAGTGGTTAATTTTTGTGTGAATTTCACCTCAATAAAGAAAAAAAGTACATCAAAGTATTCACATGTGTGTATACATATGCACGTATGTATGTATACTGGGGTGCTGGATATTTTCAAAGTATCACCCCAGAGACTACTCCTGTTAATTAAACGGGAAAAGGTTATGTTTGGCAACAGAGAACTCTGGCCAACACGGCCTTAACCAAACTTAACATCCTCAAAAGGAAAAGCTTACGAATCCAGATAGATGTACAGCTGACCCTTGAACCACACAAGCTTGAACTACACGGGTCCACTTATGTGTGGATTTTCAAGAAACATACAAAAAATATGTGTGTAGAACACTATATGCAAGACTTGTAGTGAAGTGGACAGCCTATCCTCACATAGGCATAAGGTAAGGGATGTTTAATGTAAAATATTCATTTCTTACTGTTTTAAAACTTTGCTTTCAAAGAATTACCATACAGTGTGCGCCCCTTGCTCCCGCTCTCCTCGCAATCGGAGATACTGCGTATCAGTCTATCATCACGGGTAACTTTTTAATTTAAGAATGTTTCCAATACGGCATTATGAACATGACTGCAATGCTGTGTACCACAGACATTTTACAATCATTCAATCATTACTGTACAAGCTACTGTACTGATTTGATTACACTCAGCTACCATAAAGCAATCACACTGCTACTTCTTTGTTACCAATACAGAATTGCTCTACCTATAGACTAATATGAATTTCTTTTTCACATTATCTTTTCATTTCTGACGTTAGCTCCATCCCCCAACCTCCATCAACAACCTATGATTTAATCAATCACACCTGTGTAATGATTTAATCACTGCCTATTTTTTAAATAAATAAATTTATTTTGGCTGCATTGGGTCTTCGCTGCTGTGCGCAGACTTTCTCTAGTTGTGGTGAGCGGGGGCTACTCTTCATTGCGGTGCGCGGGCTTCTCATTGCGGTAGCTTCTCTTGTTGCGGAGCACGGGCTCTACGCACGCAGGTTTCAGTTGCAGCACATGGGCTCAGTACTCGTGGCTTGCGGGCTCTAGAGCGCAGGCTCAGTAGTTGTGGCGCACGGGCTTAGTTGCTCTGCGGCATGTG